AACAAGGCGGGGGTAGATTCAGTGTGATTTCGTCTAAGGGCAAACTTTCACCTTGTGCCACTCTGATGCATGTGACCAATGAATGACTAGCAGATGCTTACTCCGCAATAGCAGATCCTCTGGGTGCATGTCGAAAAAGTAATCTGTGAGGGGAGAGAAATTTCACGAGAATGAACATTGCATGTGCCCTTACCCACTCACAAGCAACCAGTTAGATGGGTGTAGGCGCGATGGCAGAAGATTCCGGTTCGCACCCGCACCAACCCGATCCAAGGCATTAGAGCTTGAATTGGATATAGGGTACTTGGATAGACTTGCCGTGACTGGATTGCACGGTATGTGCTTTACGTGTATTCTTAGACGGAATTACTGGTAACTCATAAAACATTCGACTTCGTTCACAAATAGCTTAGCAACGGATAAATTCTGGCTGCATGGCGTCGATTTCCTCTTTGCCTGCAAAGTGGAGAGCGGAGCAGATTAATTGCACAGTACTGACCACATCCGATAGAGACAGATTGTTCATTGCAATGTAAAGACACGTCATAAAGAAAGGGGAGCTTTCCTCCTCTGGCCTCTTTACCATATGCAAGCCATCACGTATTTGCATAGGTCGTGTCATTAGAGGTAATCCAGTGGAGCCCGCGTACGTCTTTTGTTTCACGATGTTTACTCACAGCCTAGCTGCACTGACATCGATGATTATTGGGATGTAGGTTTAATCACATTTGAATCACCGCATTAGGCTAACGAAAATTGCATGGCATGACAAGCGTCCAGGAATAACCAAGTTTTTTGGTGCTGAAATTTCCAATGCCTTCATTCAGTCCTTCGGAAATAAGGTATCTTAACGTTTGCGCGAACATATCGTCAGCAGGGTAATTTGTATGAAAGTAGTGAATTTTTCATACTGAAACACCAGTCGGTCACCGCTGCGATTGCTTCTGATCACGTAGTGATGTTGTTGCAAGCAATTGCAGGCCAGTAACTCACGTGATGTTAGATTTCCCAAATACCCATCCACTGATTGTTTACAAGTATAATACATCAATTAAAGACAAGCAAGCTGGCAAAATTGCAAACACAGAGGGCTTAAATCCACTTAAATGAACGATCAGTGAAACCACATTAAGCGAGCTTCACAGGACCATCGGTCCACAAATGGGCCGAACTATCAACCGCAAGGTAGAGAACTGAAGTGGCAAATGAAATAAGAGAGGTTGGGTAACAAGCGGTTGGTTTAATTGTTGGTAACGTTTCGCTCTTGACACAAAATCTTCGCCAGACCAGGTGAATCAGTGTGCAGTTGGAGTGACATTTTATAGCGAACAGGGACGATAACCGCGTTACCCGAGACTTGAGCCAAGGTGTCATTACAGTCACAGCTCGTGATGTCCCCTCAGGTGATCCAATCACGGTGGAAGTAGTCCAGGTGTTCATTTGCGCGTCATGACATTTACGAATAAGCCCAAAATGGTGACAGTGAGAGTAGAGTTGCACTTTCCAATCTGACCCACACACCGACGCTCCTCAGGCTGAACGGCTTAAGATGGCTCGCCACGCAGTAGCAAGTTCTGCTTTCTCCATTCTATTCACACAGCTGTTCGATTTAGTATTTCCAAAGCCTCGGTCATCAACCACTGGATCGTTGCTCATATACCCCTCCTAATGACCTCCACGTTATCTAACTCGATCTGGTGACCCGTGTCTAATACATGTACAGCCACGGCCTGGTATTCAAATGCATTTGTCGACGGTCTTGCAATGCGACTCCTGTGCTCTGAAATTCGTGTGCGTAACTCTGTCGCTGATTGGCCTATGTACACATGTATACAGTCCTGACATCTAATTATATAAACACAGTTAGTCATCCTATCCTTGGGGAGAGGTCCTTCAGGTGTACCAGCGCTGAACGTAGCGTTGACCTCGCTGAAAAATCACCTTTATATTTTCCTTGTTTAGTATCCTCTGAATTGTCTCCGAAGTGCCTTCCTTGTACGGAATTCCTACCGTCCCTATCCACTCCGTTGAGGGTCATGGCTGTCGCTTTAGCACTTTATGTAACTGAGGTTTGACTTGCCACTGTGGGTAACCACTTTCTAATAGTTTGCCCACTGCCATTTTCCACGCTGCCCTTTTGTCCTCCTCCATCGTGCACAGGGTTTGTGCCTTGTAGAACAGCGCTGAGGCTATCCCAGCGCAAACCTGTTTCGGCTGACCCGAAGTGTAGTGGAGTACGCCGTCAGTAGCTCTTGGCATGCGATTTATGGTCGTCTTTAGCTTGCCCCCATTCCTGTGAATTCGGCAGTCAAGAAATGGTATTGTACAGCTACAAGATACCAGCTCAAGAATAAACTGTGTCCTCTCATTAATGAAATTTAAGTGATCAAATAACTCGTCCTTCTTATCTCGTGTAACCATTACAAAGGTGTCATTTACATAGCGCTAGCAAACTGTCGGTGAGTTAATAGGGGTTGTCAATGACCTGTTTTCGAACTCTTCCATATACAAGTTCGCCAGTACAGGGGATATTGGTGATCCCATAGAGAGACCTTGTTCCTGACTGTACAGCTTCGACTGAGAAACGAAGTAAGACATGTTAAGACATACTGTCATACCCTCGATTATCTGGTTAACTGTATGTTTTGTTCAATCACTCAGAGTGACGTCTTCATTTAGACAACAGCTTGATATTCCTAACGCCTCTCCTTTTGGTACATTGGTGAAAAGTGATGTCACACCGAAGCTTAACAACAGCACACCTGGCTCGATTTTGAGACTTGCTATCATTTGAGCGAACACATAAGAGCTTTTCACGAGTTTACTCGTTCGCCCTGTTAGAGGCTGCAAAAGCATTGCCAAATATGTAGCGAGTTTATTGATCGGGAATCCTGCACCATCGACTATGCCGTTAGATCACTTTCTTAAGATGCAGCCGAGTGGTACAATCTATACACAAAATCGACTTTACCTCCAAGGGTTTATGGTTTGCCAAAAGTTCACAAACCCGAAGTTCCCGTACGGCCTATGGTCGACGGTACAGGATTCCCGATCAATAAACTCGCTACATATTTGGCAATGCTTTTGCAGCCTCTAACAGGGCGAACGAGTAAACTCGTGAAAAGCTCTTATATGTTCGCCCAAATGATAGCAAGTCTCAAAATCGAGCCAGGTGTGCTGTTGTTAAGCTTCGGTGTGACATCACTTTTCACCAATGTACCAAAAGGAAAGGCGCTAGGAATATCAAGCTGTTGTCTAAATGAAGACGTCACTCTGAGTGATTGTGCAGATACGATCACATCAGAATTTTGTGCTACTTGAGCGACGTTTGCTTTTAGTGTTCACCCTGAACCATTTGCGTCGAGCGCTTGCTTGGCGGGGAGATAATGGAGATTCTCTGGCTGGTTTGCGCATTGGGCGGAGCCTAATGACATTTCATTTGGTCAACTACGCAATTTCATCGGTTCCGTTGGTTCGGCTGCAAGGAACTGTATGTAGCGATTGTCCGTTTGTTAAAGGAAAGGATGGGATGAGTGAATAATATTTTGATGAAGCAGGGCATACATCTGGAATCAATCTTGGTCAATGCGTGAATGTGTGAACTAGGTAATTTGCTAGTGTATCATACGCTGCTAATGGCTGGTTCATCTGGTGAGGGAATATTGTCCCTCAAGTAGATAATCGCACGGAACCACATGAACCCACACTAACATGTCACATGTCCAGTCGGTATTAATTAATAGTCATTATATTATCTTTCTTTAACTAACTTAATTGACTTGAGGTGTAATCCGGTAGCTACGGACCCACTGGTAAGCAGCGCAACGTTTGCAAGCTGTGGAGCTCAATGACGCCGCCAGTTGCTGGTCTCGGTTAAATCCTAAGCATAGCTGCTTACTGTCCGGGCTCCTATAGCTATGTCCAAAACTGGAGTTGACTTGAATCTCTTTACTGAGCACTGTGTTTTTAATTGACATTTAAAGACTATGCATGAGAGTCATCCTAGTAAACGGTGAGCTACTTAAACTGAAATATTGGCTTTAAATGAATGATCTGATTGCAAACATACTTATCTCAAGTAGAAACCTTGTTCTCTGCTTACACTAGGACTAAATTAACCAACTGGCTTACCTTGCTCTTTTCCAGGTCACAAATTCATTCCGAACAGCACCGGATGCTTGATTTGAATTGCTCCACCGACATCCAAGAAGCAATGTTCCCCCAGCCGGCACGACCACGGAATGTTCCACCGTCTTGTCCATGGAACTATGCAAGGAGACTTCTTGAGGTTCAGCGTAGAGCTGGGTTTTCGGAACAACATGTAACTGAGTGAAGGCCTCCAATCTGTGTTTTCCATCCGCACTAGTCACTTGACAAATCCATGCACCATTACCACCTAATGGATGTAGCTGTGTTTTATGGTAGTGGGCGATCCACACGTTGTCCATTGTTGGCATTCGGATAGGAATCACAGAGTATCTACGACAAAAGCAAAGGATCGCAACGGTGGTCCATTCACACCACGCTCATATCTTGCAAAAGATCCATAAGGTGGGCTAACTTATTAACCTGCTCATCAAAGTGATGGAATTCAGTTAAATTGTCAGTTGACAAAGTGCTACAACTAGGTTTCATGGGAATAGTGGGGGAGTTAAATGGGATATGATAAAGTGTACCTTATCTAGACTCAGTCAGACCGTCAACACACGCCCGGAAAAGCACTGTACGGCACTTGAATTCATTTAGGAATCTTCAGCGGTAGGCATTCCATCTTAGTTCTCTGGGGCTAAACATGCAACTCGACTGTTGCCATTCTATGGCTGAGACCACTGAGCTACGGGGACGGTAAAGACCATCGCAACTAAGTTACTACATGTGCTATCGCACCGTTCACCATCCACTGACTTACATATCTAGCGTACAAGCATTACGCAGACCAAACGCTTTATTATGCTAGAAGTAAATTGGCTGCTTAATTTTGGTAAGTTTGTCGCTTGAGGAGGGGGCTACCCTGTTCTCTGCATCATAGTGACGTCGTCGCCGTCCTCCGTAACCCAGTGCTCTCAAACACAGAATGGCAACAGTTGAGTTGCGGACTCGAGCTCTTCAAAGACCGGTTGGAATAAGCACCGTTGATGATTCCCGAAATGATAAAAAGGCCGCACAGTGTTTTCCATGGCGTGTGATAACTATTTGATTGAGTTTGAATGTGATGGATTTAATCATACACATCTGGACTTGTTCAACTTCATCTCGTGGCACAAAGAAATCCAAACTGAGCGGCTGCATACTGTGTGTATTCCAGTTTATCAACGCCCTATTGATCACAACCCTAATTCGCGTTCGCGCTTCAAAAACCACCGCAATGCAGCGTGATAATTTGGCTTTCCTTGTTGTTCTAAAACGCAAAGGGAAAGGAAACCCATCGTTAAGAGTGCAACATATCTCCAGATGTAAGCAGCGCCCATGGAAATTAAGTAGCACTAATCCTGGCGGCGCTGCCAGAAAAGTCTGGTCAACTTCGTGATGCCCTAGAACCAAGCTGAACCTGTAACACATGACTAGTGCATCCGTACAAAGGAATATTCTTTAGTTTCACCGTCCATACAGTTAGATTGCCTGCTTTGCATCGGTGCGATTGCATGAGATCAATGGTTCACAAAGTTCGGGTCAGTTTTAATTAAGTGCCATTTTGTAGGGTAGGCACTGACTGTGAGCCGCAACCTACAGAACTAGATGTTCCGTGTCAATCTACGTCCGTTTTGGAGGCAAATAACCTGCAGTTTGTAAAGAACCAATTCAAGGACACTTAAAGTGCACCGCTGGATTTCTTAGGATCAAAATTCCTTATGAGATGGTAGCAAAAAGTATCACTTTCCTATCCTAAGTAAACTCTTAAATATTACTATATTCGTGAAATCTCCATTTGCACGCTAAGGGTCCCCACCCAAATCCATGATCTTATCGTCTGCAAAATGTGAAATAACTGGACAGTTTCTCCGCTATCAAGGCTGTATTGCGCAGTTTGGCATGTAGAGAAAATGTTATCCACAGGGGGACATTGATTTTAATTTTGGACCCAAAGTACATACTGTAGTGCACTTCGAGAAAGAACAGAATCAGAATCGTCTTTATCGAATTTACTATGTTATAGGCAGCGAAACGCGGGCTGCTCGAGCGCTGCCACTATCAATTTCTCACTATCGCTAAATTAATATGAATCAATATCAGAAATCATTTCAGGGTAAAGAATTCTTTTCGGTAAATCTCATCAGACCCAAACTTTTACATAACAGTGATTGTGGATATAGCGTCAACTGGGGCTGGGATTGACTGTTTGAATGACCAAAATCGATAACTTGAGACAGAGATAGAGATGTTATCGATTTTGGTCATTCAAACAGTCAATCCCAGCCCCAGTTGACGCTATATCCACAATCACTGTTATGTAAAAGTTTGGGTCTGATGAGATTTACCGAAAAGAATTCTTTACCCTGAAATGATTTCTGATATTGATTCATATTAATGAAATGGGAATCTTTGCTTTGCTGAAGAGCAGCATTGCCCGTGATTCATTGAAACTCCTAAATGAGTATCGCTAAATTATTCGACTTGCTTATATTGTTCATGGTATTTTAACCTGTCGGCTAAGGATGAATTAAGGAATATTAGGTTCATGTGTTAAATTATTCGGAAATTTCGGATAGAATAAAGAAAGATTTGGCAAGCCTAGTTCATCATCGTTTAGGTTCCTAGTGACGGTCTAAAAACACCATCTAATTGCGTGTGAACCTTGCAAGCGTGGATCACGCAACTGCATAAGCCATTAAGTTGGGATTGTTGCATCTGCAAATATTCGCCTTAGGAGAAACCCAAGTTCGGAGAACATCAACTCACTTCTTTTTATCTTTTAATCGATACCACCGTATTACCGGTGGGGCTGCGGATATCACCCAACATGGCAGCCAGGCGTCACTTCCTTCTAGGCGCTCGATAAGTGGAACGTAGTTACGTGCCTCCGAAGTATCAAATTGACATGGCCACCGGGTGTACGCTTGAAAAGTGTGCTGGAAGCTAGGTGGTAGAGGATGAAAGCATGGACACTGACAGAAACTTGGGTGGCATGAAGACGGTAGACTGAATAGTGCAGATAACGAGTGGAAAGATTTATGTGTATGCTGATTTTTCCAACTATGATCGGGTACCCGTAAGAAGCAATGGTAATTCCCTCCATTTGCAGCATAATGGATTTGTACAGTGTTCTATTCATTTATGATATGTTCTCTAAGGTCAAACACCTTTAAAACGCTGGTGATGGTTTTACTAGACCGCTTTAAAGGAGGTTGTCCGGCTGAACGTCCGTTAGCCAGTTGCTTACTCCAGGGAATGAAAATTCAGCGTGCCTAGCTGAGTTTTCGCACCCTTGAATCTTCACGTCATGTTGAGACGAGCACTGTGAATACTGAATAATGGATACCGAAATCAGAGAGGGAGAAAATAAAAATCTGTGTTTCTCTTTCGTAGGTGTATATGCGCAGAATCACGTCGCTTATTACTGCGGTTTGACAGCATATTGCAGGTGCACAACATCTTATCCGGGTGTGATTCTCACCGTACACCTGTAGTCCGCAAACTAAACATCGAGAAATCTTTTAAATTCCGACACCGACTTCACCTCAACTAACATCTTCGTCAACTTGTGCCAACATCTCAACACTCAACACGCGAGGCATCGAGGGGGAGCGATGTGCTTTAAAGCCGGTACCACTAGTTTCGACCTGTGTCCGCGTGTGCTGCTTGATGCGTGAACATGCAGCAGCGGCCTCAAAATGGGGAAGTGGCCCAGGTGCAGTATCCGCTGCGTCATAATGAGATCAACTCGAAGCCAACGATATGACAGGGTATAAAGCCCTAGTCTACTACATCGGTCCTCGTACGACATACCCCGTAAACTGGGCGGTAGCCGGGCAGCTACATGCTGGACCCGTTTCAGTCTCTACAACATACCTATTTTGATAGGACAATAGGGAGGTGAGCCGTAATCAAGCACCGGCCATATTATGGAAGAGAACAGACGGGTGGCATTCTTTTCAGACCAAGTGCAGAAGCTGCTTCTAAGTGCAGAAAGCAGGCGTAGTGCCTTTGCGTACTGTCTGTTTGTGTTGTCGACAGACTTCAGATCACAACGTGAGAGCATGCCTAGATGCTTTACAGAACTGGTGGGATGCAGCAGGTTAACGGCTATGGTGTACGCAAGCCCATTTTCACCCCTCCTCAGGCTCATAAACGAGGACTTGGACGGGTTGACCGGTAAGTTAACTTCTGCAGACCACCGTGATAGGTGGTCGAGGTCCTGCTGAAGGACGTCACAGGCGCCGGGAGAATAAAAATCGTCAGGTCACCCGTAAATAATGCGAACGGATACCGAAGAAGCTGAGGCAATTTCTTTATGTGGATCAGGAATAAAATCGGCCCCAGCACTGTGCTTTGGGGCACACCACTAAGTGAATTAGTGCTAGTCCGTTGGGTGCTCATCCACCTGTACCTGCCATCTTCTCTCAATAAGGAAATAAGAGATACATCGGTGCAGTGCATCACCAACACCACTCATCCTCAGCTTATGGAGCAGGACCTCATAGTTCACTTTGAGCCATGGAACAATAATATAATACGGATAAAAAAGGCCAATGATTGACAAGTCCCATGGGGTGGTTTGTAGGAATAACGTTAGTTCAATGGTTACAAAAAGTGAAAAGCATCTGGGGACACAAAATTATTTATCCGCGTTAACAAGTAGATATAATCGTCTACCCCGATTTCGCGGGGTTGGTGAGCACAATGTTTGTCCGCGTCCTGTCGTCACTCAATGAATAGAAACCAGATCAAGTAATGTGAATGATGTAAAGCGTCGTCGCATCGTTTCTTAAAAATGGGTAACGTGGGCGCTTAAGTGACAAAAGTCAAAAGAGCGTTCCACAGTTGACAAACTCGAAGGGAAAAGTAATTCCGGCGACATTCAAGCCGACTGTATTGAGTGGCAAGTTTCAATTTGTGACCCCTCAATTCTGTGTCGCAGCCAAGCTTCAGGAGGTGGCCGCAAGCGTGAATGGGCTCTTTTAAAATCTGGAACGCCAGGATGAGGTCACTCTGTAAATGGCGATATCTTTCACTATACACTTACAGGGCTTTCAGTCGCCAATGGTACTGAAGATGTGACAACCCCTTCACATTTTTGTTGCCCGTCGCTGTGCGGTCTCCAGTGCAACAAGGTCGCGTTTTAACCAGGGTTGCCGAGGTTGGATCGCGTACTCTACATGGGGCCTCACATACGCATTGAGCACTTGGATGAAGATGGGAGGATCGAACCTCCCGAACGTCCTCCGTAACAGACTAACATGTTGGTTTGCGGTTTTGGACGCCTTCAATAACTGCACCGAACAGCTGAGGTCGTCTTGTATTACCACCCCAAGGTCTCCCTCTTGTGAGGCGGTTTTCAGAATGTCGTCTCCAAGTTTATATGCGTACGTGGGCTTGTGGCGGACACGCACGGTTTTGCACTTGTCCGTGTTAAACGGAAGTAGACCTACAGTTGACCATTCAAAAGCGCAGTCTTAGTCTCGTTGCAACATATTGTGATCTACCTGACAGTCGACTGCCCGCCATATATTGATGTTATCGACAAAAAGCAGACAAACTGACTTGATGACACTTGCAAGGTGGCTAATGAAAAATAAGAATAACCGTCGCCCCAACATCGACCCTTGTGGAACACTGCAGTTCACATCAATTGGATCGGAAAATGAACCTTGTACTCGAACCTGAAGGCGCCCCTGAAAGAGGAATATTCTGATCCATTAAAAGATAGGATTTCCAACTCCGAACACGTGCAGCTTTTGGAGAAGGATGCGGTGACCTATGCGGCCGAATGCTTTGTAATAGTCTAGGTAGATGACATCAGTGTCGGTCTCAATGTCGGTTATCTTGGTCCGACTGCCACAGGCAGGCAGTCGGTTGGTAGTACATCACCGATGTTGACGGAATCCGTGTTGCTCTGGTGTTATGATATTAGACGTTTCGAAGTAGCCCATTACAGGCTCAGCTATGATCGATTCCATCTCCTCTGACAGCACCGGGAGGAGAATCATTGGGCAATAGTTGACTGGCTCTGAACTGCTACCAGGTTTGAAAATGGGGGCAATTTTGCCTTGTTTCTACATGCTGGGGACCTGCTGTTCGTCCAGGCATCGTTGGAAGAATGCCTTTAATGGTTCAGCTATCCTCGTAGCTGTCACCTGCAGTGCTAGGAGGAATGTTGTCAACTCCGGGGGAACTATGGGTGCGCAACGAGCGCATCCTCAAAATAGTCGATGAACTAAACGTGACGTGTGTAAATATTGGCATCTGGGGAAATGGGTCAGGTATGTTACAAATGCTGGTCGCACGTCAGAAAATTAGGGCAAATTGTAGCCGTAAAACGTTAACTGCATCCTCGGCGGTTTGAACACGTCCAGCTGCTGATATTAGTGGGTGAACACCACGCTCCACATTCCGGAGGTCATTCATATGACTGTACAGAAGGTTTTTGTTGACATAAAACTTTTTCGCCAAACTCTGCTGGTGTAGTTATATGTCCTCGAGCACAAGTCTGGTACAGTGATTACGATGTACAACATAGTTACCCCAGTTGTCAGGGCTAGGATTAGCTCTATACACATGCCATGCGGCGTCTCTTACTATCATATGTTTTCGGGTTCTAATCCGAATGAATGATTGTGCCCTTGCAGAACGAAGGGGCTTTTTAACCGATGCAGATTTAATCAGATCACTGAACTTGCCAGTAAAATACAACAAAACACTGTCAATGGAACAGTCGTCAGGAAACTCCCAGCTGACATCTTCCACAAATTCTGCCAGTACGTCGTAGTGAGTGATTGTTCGAAATAAGTTAGTATGTTCTTTTGGATACTGCTCATAACACACAAAGTCGTAAATTTTACGTGGTCGTTCCGTCCCAGAGGGCCCTCCAGCCTTGGTTTCTTAATCATGAGCTCTTAGTTGGTGTGCACTAACTCAAGCACAGATGGTATATTGCCGGCTCTGAATCGGGTGGGTGAACTGACATGGCTGAGGAGCGGAATACTTGCAATATACTCTTGCAGGTCGGCCTTAAACTGCTCGTTGGGTGATGTCGGAACTTCCAAATCATGAATATTGAAGTCTCCGGAGATAAGAACATGACTGTGTCGTCCTCGTAGAACCCTTCTCAAGGATAATGCCAGGCAGGTGTCCATCTCTGGGGTGGACATTAAGGGAGGATTAACAACGGCCAAAAGGCAACTGTCGTTGCGTCTCAGTCGCAGACTGCACCAGAGTAAGTCTATGGGAGATGTTTCCGGATCGGTCACCGGTTCGCACTACAAGTCGTTGTGGTAGTAAAACATTACCGCTGCCTTTGCTAGGTCGATCGTTTCGGGGAAGGGACAAACCATTTATCGCGAATCGGCATCGGTAACTTTTGAGTGTAACCAGGTTTCCGTAACCACTATGTGATCCCAGGCATGTGATGCTTGACGTAGCTGCAGTTCGATAAGATTGTTCAGGTGACCCTGTGTATTGGTGTACATGCAGGAAAGTTGCTCTGTTTTTATCAATGAATCGTGCGATGCGTGTTTCGGATAGAATGTTGTGCCGACTGGTGAAAGCTCGACAACTAATCGTTTTTTTGGGTGGGTTGATGACGAGCTCATCTATGTCCTATTCATGGATCCTACCATTACCGCTTCGCTTCTCACTTTGTATTTAATGTATGTAGTGTGTTTGCCAGTTACGTTGGCTAGTTGATCCAAGTTATCCCAACTCTTATCAGGAAGTGGTCTGACTAATTGGCTGCTCTCTTGTGTTTGCTAAGCAGATGCTGCTTTAATCCGGAGCTCGGAATGAAGGCTACTGTGGCCCGCATACCTGCACTCCAACACCATTACTTATATTTGTATAGATTGAAGCACCAATTTCACAATCCTCAGGCCACATACCTTGTAGTTTGATGATCGGCGCAGCCTCGAGAATGATTGCGC